TTGTCTGTTCCCCTTCCCCCAATTCCCCAATAAAAAATCTTTAAAAAAAAATATATATAGAGATAGATAGATTCCTGGGCCCTACCCATCCCAAATTTATGGATTAACTGTGTGCATGTATGTTTGGGTTACAAAGGGTTTGCAGTTTAAGAAAGGTGCCCTAGATGACTCTTAAGCACAGTGAAGTGGGAAAGAGGTTTCTAATTTTCTCTCTTATTTCTCCACTGAAACTAAAAAAAACAATTGGCTTTAGAGCTTCTGTTCAGGCCAGTTAATGGCATCGCTAATGTCCCAGCCACCAAAACTAGACATGCAGAAGTCCTCTCACTGTTACAGCAACTGACTGCTAAACCTAGTCATTTTTCTTTCTTTTTTCAAAGAAACTTTTGTCAAGTCTCTACTCACCTCTTTATGCTCCTTTCCATTCTCTACCATAACATAAATCCTTGCCTAATTCCAATCTCTTGAAAAGATGAGTCCATTAACTCATCCCTCACACTAAAACCATTTGGCTTTTAGTGTAGTATTAAGAAGATATAATGAGCTTTAGAGTCTGACAGACCCAGAGTTGAAGGTCAGCTTGCCCTTTATTAGCTTAAGTATCTTTGAACAAGTTATTTTATCTCTCTGAGCCTTACTTTCCTCATGAGTATAAGAGGAGGATAAATTTCACTATGTTGCAAAGTGAAAAACAATTTCATTTATTGTAAAGATTGAAAAAAATGTATACACAAGCCTTCAACAAAGTTTGGCACATAACAGACATAATTAAATAACAAAAAAAATTACAACAAAAGGATAGGACACATCCATTACTTTACAATTTTAGTATCTCCTCACTACCTATAGAATCGAGCCAATGTTCCTTAGCATGGTATTTGATATACTCCATAATCAGGATGCAAACTACTTTTCCAACCTCAGATTTGTCACCCAGCCACAGTGGGCTACTCACCATTGGTCCAACATAACAGGTACATTTTTGCTTTCGAGCTTTTTATAACAATGGTCCCTCAGGTTCAAATGATCTTTCCTCAAACACTGAAATTCTACCCAATCTTTCAGGGCTCAACTTGAATATGACATCTACTTGTTCAAGTCTTCCCTAATATCCTTAGTTGAAATTAATCACTCCCAACTCTGTCCTCTTATTAGAATTGTACTTTCATTTGTGCTACCAAAGAACTTTCTACACTCTGCTTGGTGTTATAAGGCTCTTATATATAATGTGAGTATCCTAGAGGGTGGGCTCCTTTAACATGGGGACCTTTTTTTTTTTAAGATTTTATTGGGGAATTGGGGAAGGGGAATGGCGTTGGGGAATCGGGAAGGGGAACAGATAAGCTGCTGTCCTTTTGTTCTTCAGTCTAGTTGTGGAGGATGCCACTTCACTGCGCTCTTCCTGGGTGAGACGGTCACTCGCCAGCTACTGGACGGCACCTCACACCGGCTGCCAGCCACTCATGGTAGCTTACGGCAGCCCACTGCAGCAGGGGCTGCAGCCTACGCTGTCGCCAGCGACTCTGGCAGCCCAGCTCCAGGTTGCGCTCTTGGTCACCATCTTAACTGTAGAGGGCGCAGCGTCACTGGCCCTCATGTGGGATCTGAGCAGCCCTGTTGCTCAGAGCTGGCGTCCCAAGCCAACTCTTAACCAATGCGCCACTCAGCCGGCCCAACTTGGGGATCTTTCTTGATCACCTATGTACACCCACTTTGCTGAGTCCAGTGTTTTATTATT